AGTAGTTCTTCTACTTCATATTCTTCCTCGCCTTCCACGAGTTCCGGCTCGGGTGGCGGAGGTTTTTTCTGGTTGGAAAACTCCGGGGGGACGTATGGAGTTAGGTATCATTTGTTGAACTTGTTGTGGATTTTCCATCCTGGCAGCAGCTTTAGTTCGTATGTGGAGGGCCCCTTTTTGAAAACTATTTCAAAGGGGCTGACACGTTTGTCGCCTAGCTTTTTTGCCGGTCGGGGGAGGTGAAGGTTGGTTGAGTCCAACCAGACTTTATCTCCTGGTTGGTACTCCTGCGCAGGGTGAGTGTGTTTGTCGTAAGCCTTTCTCATAACTTCGACAGCTTTATTCAGAGAGTCTTCCGCTTGCCTGCACACTCTCTGGAGGCTTTCGACGAAGTCAGTTACTGACGGTGTTTCCAACTGCCTCACCGTGGTTGGGCGAATTTCCCCATCTCGTCCAAAGATGATTTTGATGGGGGAAAAGCCCATTGCAGAGTGTTGGCGGTTGTTGTGAGCGAATGCTGCCCACTGCAGCCATTTGCTCCAGTCATCCTGTTTGTGGTTAACAAAGACTCAAAGGTATTTTTTGAGTTCTTGGTTAACCCGTTCCGTTTGCCCATCTGTCTGAGGGTGATAGGCTGTTGACGGATTTCCTTGAATATTCATCATTACGTACAGCTCAGTGATGAATTTTGATACGAATTGAGGCCCCCGGTCGGAGATGACTTTAGAGGGGGTCACCCCGAATCAACAAATGATCTCGTCATGTAGGATTTTAGCCCATCCGCTTGACAAGAGTTCCTTCGTGCATGGAATCAGCACGATGTATTTTGAGAATCGGTCTATGATGACTAGCACTGCATCATAGCCTTTGGATTCTGGAAATCCGGTGATCATGTCGACTGAGATGTGTTCCCAAGGTTGAGATGGTACAGCATTGGGATGTAGCAGTGCTGCCTTCCGCTGCGTGTTGGTTTTTGTTCTTTGACATGCCTCGCATCCTCGTATGTAGGTTTCCACGTCTCTTCGCATTTTGGGCCACCAGTAGTCTCTTAAGACTAGTTCCTTGGTTTTTTCAATGCCTGGGTGTCCTGCAGAGATATGATTGTGGCGATGGGAGATGAGTTCTCCTCGTAGGGTGTGGTCATGGGGAACGTAGATTCATCCATCATAGTATAGAAGGTGGTCTTTCTCAACGACCCCCTTCTCATGGTTGAGGCTTGAAGCGATCCCTCGGTCCCACTGTTGGTGATCACTGGTTGCTCTCCGAATTTTGCCATGAATTTCTTCCCCTGTGGGCATTATCAAGGCGTGGAAGAATTCTGGCTTCAAGAGGACAATATTGTCATTGTCCTTCTTGCCTTGGTCATGGTTGGCCTGTCGACTTAGAAGGTCAGCCTTCCTATTAGATGCTCCCGGTTTGTGGTTGAGCATGAAGTGGTATTCCGCTAATTCAGTAACCCACTGCGCTTGTCTGCAGTTGAGTTTCTGGGGTTTGCAGAAGTATTGCAGATTTGAGTGATCTGTCCAGATTTCAAAATCTTGATGGGCACCCATAAGGTAATGTCGCCATTCTTCCAAGGTGATCATTATTGCTAGCAATTCCTTATCATAAATCTTGTAATTCCGTTCTGTCGTGGAAAGAGATTTTGATAGGAATGCAATCGGGCACCATTTTCCTTCCTGTTCCTGTGACAGGACAGCCCCGATTGCCCCTTCGCTGGAGTCCGCCTCCAAGCGAAACTTGTTGTAGTCGTTTGGCATCGCCAAAACAACTCCCGTTGCAAATTGACATTTGAGTTCCTCAAACGCCTCTTGTTGCTCCTTTCCCCATGTCCAAGGGTTCTTCCCTGTGAGTTTCATCATTGGTTTGACGATTGCGCTATAGTGCCCGATAAATCGCCAGTAGAAGTTGGTGAACCCCAGGAAGGATTGTAGTTCCTGTTTCTTGGAGGGTGCCAGCCAGTCCATGATACCAGCGATTTTTACTGGATCCATTTTAATGGATCCTTCACTGATAATGACTCCGAGGTACTCTGTCTCAAGTACCTCGAACTCACACTTTTCTGCTTTCAAGAACAACTTGTTCTTGTGCAGAATCCTCAGGACTTCCCGCATGATTCTTCGGTGTTTGGCCTTGTCCTTGGTGAAGATGAGGATGTCATCCAAATAAATGGTGGCCTTTCCTTGAGCAATGAGATCTTTAAAGATATCATTCATCATCCACTGCAACGTGGCCGGTGAATTGGTTAACCCGAAGAACATAACCATGGGCTCATAGAGCCCTCGGTTAGTGTGGAATGCAGCTTTGAACTCGTCCCCTTTCTTGATTCAAACATTGTTGTATCCCCAATGGACATCTAGCTTAGTGAAATACTTCGCATCCTTTAGCTTATCCATAAGGTCGGAGATAAGCAGTAGAGGATAGCAGTTTTTAATGGTTATTTCATTAAGTTTGCGGTAGTCTTGTACAGGCCGCAATTTTCCATCCTTTTTCTTGACAAAAGAAAAAAGGAGATGCCATTGGAGATTTGGAGGGTCGAATTCAGCCAGTGGCTAAGTTCTCATCCAGAAACTTGTCCAGCTCCTCCTGCTCCCTTGGGTTCAAGGGGTATATCTTGCAATCCAGACTGGCATTGGCATTGGGAATCAGCTCAATGGCGTGATCCCAAGGTTTGCGAGGGGGAAGTTCATCGAAGTTTTCTTTAGCGAAGACATCAATGAAGTCCCGATAATGTTCGGGGACAATTTCCTCAAATGATTTTATCTTCTTTCCCTCGTTGGCCTTGGCTGCTAAGTCATTGGCTTTATGCTCCACCGCTTGTATATGAAAGGCTTCCTCAAAGTCTATGATGAGGATGGTATCCCCATCCTCGACTTCGGTTCCCCACTGCTGTTCTGGATCTTCGTCTGATCAGGGCCTTCGCAGAGTGATGGGCCATAGTATCAAAGGTCTCCAGTTGTAGGGTGATTGTGATATTTTGCCCCTTCACTCCTCAGACATATTGGGGTGGTTTGGTAAGCTGGTCCATATGTTCCAGCTTTTGGTATTTGTCCAGATAGGACTCCCCGACTTGGTGTTCCAAGTCGGCAGCCAGTGGCTCATCCACCTCCGCTAGTCGTCGGGGGTGGACCCACTGTTTGAGAAGTGACACCTTCTCTCCTGGGGTCTTGGCGAATTGCATAGCTTGCCGAGTCCAGGTGGCTCCGAAGGGTTTCAGCCATTTGAAGTCTTGAGAGTACTCCACCGACGCTGGCGGCATCAGGGCCTTCCTCTCATCGTCACAGTCCATAGGCCGCAAAGGCCCTGCTCCTATGACCATGCGACCAGTCAGTTCCCTTTCACCTCGGTGCGGACACCCATTCGGGTTAGTTGGGACTTCACTGGATTTTGGAGAGTTCCATAAACTCTTTAAATAACTAGGATTGCTCTCACCATTAGTGCAATCCTTAAAGGGGAGACATACCTGAAAGGGGGAGTCTCTCTCTCCTGTTCGACCCACTTGTTCCTTGTGGGCGATTGAGCTTTTTCAGCCGGTGTCCTCTGTGATAGAGGTGGCCGCTCCTGGGTTATCCTTTCTACTTGGTTCCACGTGTGGTGCTGGGTTATCTCCAGAGGCTTTACAACAGTCTGCTATCGGGTCCGCTGGGCTCCACCAGCCCTCGGCTCCGTCCCTAGGCTCGCCTGGATTCTCCAACCTCACCATCACTGAAGTGGTCTGTTGTTGGAGAACCTTGATGCACAGAGGAGATGCCAGTTCACCATCGTCTGGATCCATTGCTGCTATATGCAACTTTCCTGGGAGTTGGACTATATAGTCCTCGTTTTGACCTCCTGTATGGCAGATATCACCTGCAGGGAACAATGACGTCGCACCCCCAAGGTTCCACCCTTGGTTGCCTGTCGAACCGGTAGGCTCCTCTGTGTCGTATGTGCGCCCCAAAGGGGTATTTGCAGTGGCTTGGACACAGCAGGTACCACCAGCACTAGGACTTGGCTGGTGGGGTTCATTCGTGCCCAACCCTTGGGGTTCGTTGCCCGACGGGCGGTGGTAATCCCCTGATACACCATTCTTGTTTTGTGATTCCTTCATAATGCGAGATGAATGCGATGTATTGTTACAAGTATCTACAGATACAGCATAAGTAGAAACATTCGTGTCATAAGGTGCACCATGATAAACCCCAGCTGACGAAGTAGAATCACAAAGTCCTACGCCGGCATCTCCTTTATTTCCTTGATCTCTGTTGAGCTAGCGAGGTCTTCTTCCTCTATTTCTGCTAGAACGGCTTGGAGAGGGGTTACAAAGTCGATGGCTTTTTCTTCAGGAATTTTAGCCCCTTCGACTTGTCAGGCAGGCATTTATTGTCCTGCCTCTGGTATCTGGTGTGTCCGCACTGGAAACATCGCTTTTCTCTTTTTGAGACGATCGATGTCCATAGGTTCGCCTTCACCACCGTAGGTGAATTCAGTGGCATCTCTTCTGCCCTTCGAGCCACTCAAAGAGCCCCCCGCTGTTCCAGGCTTGGAACCAGTGGTCTCACTGGGATACTTCCCACCTTGAGCGAGATGAACTCGGTGGTTCTCGTCCATTGGTAGGACCCTGCACCTCCACTCCCAGTAGGTGGTAGGCTGCATATTGTCTCCACCCATGATAATGTTGGGCCAGATCACGAGGGTGACGACTTCCTCCATTTTCCCGTTGTTGTGGGAGCATTTGTCTTCCACGGTCAACTGTTCGAACTCCTCAGAGGACTTGATGGTTGGTCTTCTGATTTTTAAAGGTTTTCTCCTTTCCTATACAGTCATGACAAAAGGGATTTATTGTCTGTGTTCATATGACAGATTTGTCCATAGTGGTACCTACAGATACGATTTTAATATAACAATTCTTGGATAAATGTTTACCGAAGGATTCATAAGTCTTGGTGTACAAGGGCAGATTGCCCAGTCTGTTGTCAATTCCTTTTGGCTGGAAAGGCGTTAGTCCTAGGCAGATTGGCCTAGTTCTTTGTCGACACCCTCCCCTCAGCGTTCGTTGCTGAGGGGTTTTTGCTCTGCCTTCTAAGCAGAGCGCTCTCCTTTTTGAGACGATCGGTGTCCATCCTTTCAGGGCATGATGTGCCCCTGTACTGGGAAAGAGAGGGGACCCTCTTTCCTAGTTCTGGGTCCAGAGACGTGGTCCAAAACACTTCGGATGGTAGGCGTGGTTTAGTCCAGTCTCTCCCAGGTTTCTTCGTATTGAAGATGTCTTCAGTGCTGAAGTTCAGCACTAAAGACGCGGATGGTCTCATCCTCATCAGAGGGGGTGTCGGTGAGGGTATGGCTGCCTTCTTCTGCCTCTGGGACTGTTCAGTATTCTTCCTCCATGAACAGGGGGTGGGGAGTGAGTCCCATAGGTTTTCATCAATGTGCGTTCTGGCCATCGGGTTGGGCCAGATGGCCTCATACTGCTCATTCTCCCATGGAAAGGCCTCATAAGAGGTTTCTGGCCAGGGAGATTCCCAACTGTCCCCAGCAACGAAGTGCCAGGTGTTGTCGGCAGTTGAGTTGGAGGGCATGGGGGGTAGATCCCAGGATCCCTCTTTGGGGGTGATCCAGAAATCCACTGGAAAGATGGTCCCCCAACCCAGTATCCCTTTTTCCTCGGCCACTCCTCTTTCTTTCCTGGCCAGGTTGTGGATTTGGCCCACAATTTGGAGAGCGACTTGATGGTACCGTCAATATATCTGGCTACAGAGGCCAGTGGATCTCTTTGAGGTGACTTCGGATTCGAGCCAGATGACTTCTGGTCCCCATAGAGAACTAGTGTTCGGACTCCAACCGGAGACGTCCCGTTGGATATAGGAGTCTCCGACAGAAGTATCTGACCGAGTGTGGACTCTTCATGCCTCCCTTGGAGTTCTGAGAGAGGAGTAGATTCCCCTGTCATGCTCTGAAGTGTGGAGCATCAGTCCGGTATCTCCAAATGATTCTGGGGATTCATCTCTTCGATGTCCTCCTGCGTCGGTTCTCCTGATCATGGTTTGTCTGCCTTCTTGATTGACTCCCCAGGTAGGGAGGAAAGGATTGTTGATCCTTTCGAAGGTGGTTCTTCACCACTCTGTTCCATCAGCGACATTCCCATCATCCTTTTCCAGAGTTTGTTCATTGATGAGTCAGTTGTACTCATCAGTGTAGAACTGTTAGACATTGGGGGTGATGGGGGTGTTGGGATCATCCCAGGATCCCTCAGTATCTTCCCAGTATCCTGCTGCCAATTGTGGACTTCCAGGGTAGTGGGTCTGAAGGTCCTGCTCTGATCCATTAGATGGAGCTTGGCGGTCTCCTCCTGTGATGGGGTGAATGGAAATTGATCCATCTCGTGATTGCGGGTAGGATCGAGCACCATGGTGCAGGGGGTGCTTTACTAGGGATAGTAAAGTTTCCAGAATGGGGGTTTGGCATGTGATGGAGCCTGTTGGGTTCATACCATCGTTGAACAATGACGAGGGTACGAAATGTTTCTGTAGGGGTGAGCAACCTAAGGACTTGTCGTATAATGACAAGGATTCCCTTTTGAATGCTCCAGATTACTGCAGTTGTACTTGTTAATGAAAATGACAAGTGCAGTTTTGAGGTAGAGCCCATTACTTGCCCACTTAGCAGGGGTTGGTACTCTTTGTGGGGTACGGGTTGGTCGGAGAATGTGGATAACTGCGACTGCAGTTAATAGTATCAAAATACTGAAGGTACTTTCGAAGATGATGGCGGTGCGGTCTGAAGGGGTGAGAGGCGTAAAGTTCATTGTATTACAATGAGTATTTTACAATCTCAAGGTATGGTGGGTGCCGTTTTAGATAATGGGCTGAAGATGTCCTTTCTTTGGAAGTATAACAGTGACTGCCTTGAAGCGGTACAGTTACCGTTGACAATGGTAAGGGTAGTAAGGGCAAGCTTCGGCTAATTGTTAAGCACTAACTCGAACCTTCGCCAAAGCTGGTCTCTATCCTGTCACTCGCATTTGGTGATTCAGTGTTAGAGAGGCGTTGGTAGATTGCAAGAAGTTAGGCGTCACTTTATAGCAAAAGCAAGGAGCTTGTAAGAGTTAGGAGTATATAACCTTAGCCGAAGCTGGGGTCTAAGGCCACAGCGTAGGCTAGCTTAAATACATGTTAGACTCGTACTAAGAATAGTATCTACAAGGGCACGTGCAATGAGAAGTGCGCCTTTCAACAAATGAGGAGTGAGGACACTAAAAGAAGTGTACTCTCGACAAATGAGAGTAAAGAGTGCATATCACCTGCATCTGCATGGGACTCCATCTGAATAGGCTGCATCCCGTAGACCGCCCTCGACTGGTGGTCGACTCTTGTCCAACTACTAAGAAGCATGATGCCATCAAGAGAAGTGTGATGGCACATGTGGGTCACTAGTCATCTGGGGGGGCAGCAGCATAAACTGGGGTGATGGCAGCTGGGTAACCGGGTAAAGAGTGTGCCGGTGGAATATCATGGGTCTGAGAGATAAGATAGGCAGGTCCAGGGTTCCGATGGATAAGGATAAGATAAGATAAGGAAAATAGGGGTAAAACTGTAATAACAGTAGTCCAGTTTTTCCTGAAGAGAAGGAATATGTTCCATTCTATCAGTGCTCTGACCGAGATCAGGTTCATTGGAACACTTGGGGCATGCAAACAGTCAAGAAGACAAATCATGACATGTGCACCATTAACACAATGTATGTGAATTCTAATCTCCCCACAAGCTTCAGTGCTGAGGACACCGCAGTTCGCAGTCTTGACATCCACAGCCAGATCAGTGTGATATGACCAGAAGTAGCACCATTCCTTGAAGAGATGTGTGGTACAACCGGAATCAAACAAAGTCTTCACAGACTGAGCCAGAAGGACATAAGCTATTTCATGCATTACGTCCAGATACCAGGTTGAAGCCGAATCGATAGGACTTAAGAAGGAGGCACTCGTGCAAATGAAAAATTTGTCTGCATTGTAGGTATCGACTGTACAATCGGAAGTAGGTATTTTGCTAACAGCTGCATGTACTTCCTCCTCTGAGGTTGTGCCGTGCTGCTCTGAAGAATCGGAGTTGGGGTTTGCATCTGCAAGGTTTGCGTGAGGAGTGGTGTATGTCTTGTCAGGAGGACAATTTGCTGGACATGGAGGAGGGTGACCATTTGACATCGAATCTACTGCACATTGCTTGGATGGATCATGCTGGTCTGTCGAATGACTTTGTTGGCTGCAAATATCACATTTCCGACAACTGGTTCTATTGGAGAACTTAGACAAATGCCACTGCATGTCTAAATCAATGACACGATCCAACAAGTTGTCGAAATAGCCAAAGTCTATCACATCTGGGGACTGTCCACAGTCCCTGGTCACGTCCTGATGAATCGGGAGATACCAACCCCCTTCCTCCGGCAGGTTATGCATGAAATTCAACGCAGCATCGAAATAAATGATAGGATAGCATTCTGCATGTAATGAAAGAATAGTGGAGTGCCAGCGTTGAACATACTTCACCACATTTTGCATATCCACAGTGTAAGTCCGCAGCACTTCCCATGTCGCATGAGCCTGCACCGGCTGACCCAATCCAAAATGCTTATGCAGAATGGCAAGCAGGGTACGCATGGTGTATTCACTACCAGCACCACCATGATCATTGACCATGGGGAGTATGGCAGAGACATCGGCTGACAGTCTAGACATAAGGATGTGAATCATCGCTGCATCTTTACGATGCCAAGCCATAAACGCATCCCAATCCTGTTGCATCGAAGCATCATGAAGAACAGGAGGATATGAAGGCACTCGCATAGGATTAAGGACAACAACCCCAGGCAACAGGTCCTCAATGATATGCAGGAGATAGTAATTATATGTATTTTGAATCAGATGACTGTTATTATTGACAGTATTATTGTGATTATTCTGTATATTCGTGGATGGCTGTTGATTTTGAGAATGCATACTAGAAGGAAAAGAAAAAGAAGTAGGTACGTTATAGGAAGGTTGCACAGGAGGAGGGAGATGTGGTACTACAGGAATATGTGGTGATTGACAGAAAGGATTATTCAAGGATGAAGGAGTGCAATGAGACAGATTAAACAAATTATTTACATATAGACCAGGACAAGAATGAAATGATGGAAACGAGGGTAGAGCAACCAGTGGGTACACATGCAGCCATGACGAGTGGGAGTGCTGAAATGACAGTTGTGATGATTGACTAGATAGTGAACCAGAAGGCGGGAATGTGTGAGCAGAATGTTGAGAGGACAAGGAGCCAGGAGGCACCGGTGGCCAAAATACATCCGGTGCAACTGAGGGCCATTGCAGAGCTGGCGGTGTCTGATACATAGAGTATATGTGCATATATGCATTGAGAATGACCCAGAAACAGGTGTAGGTGGCTCATAGGTATGGTCCTCCACAGCAGCCAAGGCAAGAGGAATGTTCTTCTGATGCCAAGAGAGTAAAGAATAAGGTGCTGCAGACGTAAAAACGAAGCTAGCAGGGAAATAGACAATGGCGAGTCGCAAGAAAAGTATCTGTGTCATGATCCGGTAGGTTCAGGCTAAGTAAAAACCCATAACCTGTCAGCCCTAGGTACCTGTACCGAATACACGAACGTAAGTCTAAGGTACCAAGGTAAGTATGAAAGGTGATATGAAAGAATAAACAAGAGATGTACCTCCTCAGTGCACGGATGATGTAGTAGCAACTGAGGAGAAAGGAAAGGAAGACGAAGTACATATATGTCTGGCAGGGATCACATGCATCCCATGTGCATAACCCAACTCTGTCTATTGAATAAGGTCCTCTCCTCCTAACAATACATACTGAAACTTTAGTGAGCTCACTAAAAGAACACCACAGGCAAGCACTGACTTAGCCCACTCACTACACAACTGTATGTAGGAGGTTCTCCAACTGACTCAAACAGATTATCTTGATTCAAGAACACTTTAGAAGTGTTCAATGTCCATAATAGCACTAGCATGTAAGACAGGACCTTCAAGGAATGTAGTGTGGAGGGATGCAGAGAGTTGTTCTTGAGTGAAAACGGGTCAGAAATTGTGAGGGTTGACTTGAGCATATTGACTATCCCCCTCTTTAGGGTAGATGTCCCATCATCTAGTAAGAGCATCCAGTTTCCCACCAAGTTTACCTGGTCAGAACCCATCTGATTGCCTAGCACAGCCACAATTCTGCAGCTCAAATAGCAATTTCATGGCATTAGTGTAACGAGCATGCCAATGGAAACCCGACCTCCACTCAATCCAACAAACCACAGCCTGGAATCCTACAGATTCCAATTCCCAGTTTCTATTTCATATTCCATTTCATATTCCTTTTTATATTTCACTTCTCCATTACAATTTATCAATAGCCGACATCAGTAGCAAACATGTCATCGGACCCCATCAGCTACCGACCAGTAGATTACATCCTCCAAGAACCCTAGAATGTAGACCACTCCGAGTAGGAACTAGATTGGACTCCTAACTAGTATATAAGCCTTAGAATTACACTGTAGATACTCAGTTCGAATATTAACTTGGTTCAGCCCAATCTCTCTCTCTCTGACTCTAAGTCTAACTCTCATTCTCCAGTCTGCGGAACTCCGATCTGTTGGACTTATCTCTTACCTCATCTCTGCCACTCCGCGGACTTCCGTCTGTATCTATCATAGGGCTTCGGCTCAGGGGTGACATTGCCAATAGCTTCGCCCATGCCCGACGCATCCTGTGGCATTCTGCTACGTGCACTTACTGCCGCAATCCTATTGGCACGATCCTAACAGTATATTCGAACTCAAACCCTTGAGTCGAAATTTCTTCCTAACCATGTCTTCTACTTTCACTGTTCCTCCAGAAACCAGCCGCAACTCCATGGTCAACAACCGAACCTACACCATGGATGATATCCCTGCCTCTGCTTCAAAAGAGGGTCCCCTTCTCTTCGGATCGGATTCTGCCCCTCGCCAACAATCCCGTAGGGAAACCTACCTTCACAGTGGCTTCACTGCTCGCCAATCCAATGCTAACCGATCGCCTAACCCCTTTCTAGCCCAGCGATCAGAATCCAATGGCTGGGGTGAGTATCGAAGTGACCCCCTGTGGAACCCAACTACCTCTCTGTTCGATGACATCCCAGGTCACGATGACAACGACGACCAAGGTTCGGAAGACGGGGAATTCCCCCCTCACATGCCAATGAATGGCCACAGAAACCCATCGGGAAATCCTGGTGGTGGCCCACCCAATCCTGGTGGCCCCGGAGGTCCTGGTGGTCCTGGTGGTCCCAGCGGAGGACCTAACAACAATCCTGGTAACAACCCTAATCCTCCCAATAATGACGCCCAGATCCTCATTCAACTCATGAATGTCCTCCGTGGCGTCTCTGATGCTGTCAATGGCAATCGACAACATGCAGTACGCACCAAGGTCAAGGAACCAGATACCTTTGATGGTTCGGACTCCTGAAAACTTAAGGCCTTCATCGTCTCCCTCCAGTTGAACTTCAACGACTGTCCCGATGCCTTCTGATCGGATACGGCAAAAGTCAACTACGCTATCTCCTTCCTTTCCGGTGTCACCCTTGACTGGTTCGAACCAGATATCCTCCACCCTAATCACTGCAACCCCCCTGCTTGGGCATATTCCTATACCGCTTTCCTTTCAGAACTCCGCACCAACTTCGGCCCCTTCGATGCTGTCAGTGATGCCAAAGATGAGCTTGAAAATCTTCGGATGCACAACGGAGACCGCATCATGAAGTATATTGTCAAATTCAATCAGTATGCTGCCATTATTGGCTATGGCGACAACTCCCTTCGTCATGCCTTCTACCGTGGCCTTTGCTCTCGCATCAAGGATAATATGGCCCACCACGGGAAACCTGATAATCTCTGTGATATGCAGAATCTTGCTCAAGAGCTCAATGCTCGCTACTGGACTCGGAAAGCCGAAATCTCCTGAGAAAATCGCAGTAACCCATCTTCCTCTTCCAGCAACAGCAACAAGGCGAAGGGTTCTAACTCTTCGTCCCCCAACTCCAACTCCGCGAGCCAAAAGTCCTCCCATTCGGGCTCCACGGGATCATCTTCATCTTCCCCCAACAACTCTTCCTCTTCCAACCCTAAGCCCTACACTGACAAGCTAGGCAAAGACAGCCGTCTTACTCAAGAAGAAAAGGACCGCCATCGGAAGAATAACCTCTGCATGTTCTGTGGAGGTAAGCACAAGACCGAAGATTGCAACAAGCGCAAAGCCGCGGCCTCCGCTCGGGGTCATGCAGCCGCAGCTACTCCAGCCCCTACTCCCGAGTCCACTGCCTCTATTGAAATGGTTCCATCGGAATCGGAAAACTAGAGAGCAACCCTGTATCCTCTGCACTAGGACAGGGTTGCATTGACTGTCACAGTGCACTAGAGATCATAACCCTCAATGCTGCTGCTCTGTCCAATCATTCCCTAACTGTCTCTCTCTCATCTGAAGTCAGCTCTGGATCGGAGTCCGATGGTTCTCCCATTTCTACTATCCTTCGTTTTCTTGCACTCATTGATTCTGGCTCTAGCCACTGCTTTGTTGATTCGAAGTATGTTGAGGATCACAATCTCCTTACCAAATCTATCCCACCTGTCCAACTTCAGCTTCTCGATGGCTCCATCAGATCTCAGATCTCCCAATCCATTTCCCTTCCAGAGACACCCTTCCTATTGACTTCTACGTCACTCGTCTAGATTCATCTTGTAACGTCGTTCTGGGATACAACTGGCTCTCCCGCTACAATCCATCAATTGACTGGGTAAAGCACAGTATCACTTTCCGTTCACCATTATCGGTTGTTTCTTCATCAAGCGCTTCTGCGGCTGCCAACACACATGTGCCAGTCCGCTTGGACTCTTCCAGTCCAATCCAACCATCCCAATCATCATCTTCCACCCCAAAATCGAGATCCCGATGGGCTCTGCCACCTTACGAACCTATCTATTCCTATCCTACCATTCCTTCCTTTGGTGCTTCGGCCGCCCCCAAGATATCTATTATTTCGGCTGCCGCTTTTGTCCGAGCTTGTGCAGAAGAAGGAGCTCAGCAGTTCACATTGCAGCCTTCTATGCCTAGTGTCAATGGCAAGGGGACCGCCGTGGCTCCCGCTAACTTATCCGATGTCCCACTGGAGTACCATGAATTTGCTGATGTATTCAGTGATTCCCTTTCTGAAAAGCTCCCTGAGCATCGCCCTTACGACCTCAAGATCAATATTGAGGAAGGCTCCACCCCTCCACTCGGACCCATCTATTCCCTTTCTGAATCTGAACTAAAAGCCTTACATGAGTTTATTGATGATAACGTCCGTAATGGTTTCATCACTCCTTCCCGCTCTCCGCACGGAGCTCTGGTACTGTTTGTCAAGAAGAAAACTGGTGAACTTAGACTCTGTGTAGATTATTGTGGTCTTAATAAAATCTCTAAAAAAGACCGTTACCCGTTGCCCCTCATTTCCGACCTCCTCGATTCCACGTGTTCCGCTCGCCTCTACACCAAGCTAGACCTTTGTCACACCTACCATCTCGTATGCATAGCTGAGGGTGATGAATGGAAAACCGCGTTTCGGACCCGCTACGGCTCCTTTGAATGGCGTGTCATGCCATTTGGACTCACCAACGCTCCTGCGGCTTTCCAACGCTTCGTCAATGACATCTTCTCTGATATGCTTGATGTATCTGTCGTCGTATACCTTGATGACATCCTTATCTACTCCGACAATCCCGAGGATCACCGAAAACACGTATGCGAAGTCCTTCGCAGACTCTGAGCCAATAGCCTCTACTGCAAGGGTTCCAAATGTGAATTCCATCAGGACTCTGTTGAATATCTTGGTTACATCCTCTCACCCGAAGGCTTGTGCATGTCTGAAGACAAGGTCAAAGCTATTACCGACTGGCCAGTCCCACGCAAGGT